AGACTTACTTGAGCCCAGGAGTTGGAGGTTGCTGTGAGCTGTAACGCCACGGCACTCTACCCAGGGGGACAGCTTGAGGCTCTGTCTCAAAAAAAAAACAATACAAATTTTGTGACTTAAAACAATAACCTTTCATTATTGCTCACCTGTCCAGTGTCAACTGGGCTGTTCTGCTGATCTGTGTGAGGTTTTATTGATCTTTGCTGGGTTTGCCCATGTGTCTAAAACCAGGAAGTGGGTTGGCCAGACATAGATGATCTAGGGTGCCCTCACCCACATATGTGACAGTCGTCTGGCTGTTAGCTGGGGTAACGGGGCTGCCATGTTGCTCAGAAGCTCACCTGTTCTTGTTCACCTGTTGGATCTGCAAAGTTCTAAGAAGAGAGCAGAAGTGTACAACAGCTGGCCATCTTCTGTTGGCCAAGGCGTATAAGTGGAGGGCTCACATTCAAGGGGTAGAAGCATGAACTCTGCTTTTGTAGAGGAGTCTTGAAATTATATTGCAAGGGTCTGGACACAGGGATAAGATTCTGTGACCACTTAACAATCTACTACATTTAGAAATTTTGAATTACAAATTATAAAAAGTATTATTATTATAAATGATCATTATAAACTTTAAGAGAATAGCCAAGTTAACCAGAAGGCTTGTTTGCTGATTGATTTGAACCTTCCTTAATTGAACAAGTGTTTAATTGTTTATTGTGATGCTTGTTTTGATTTCAATTGTTTTGTTCTATTCCTTCCATGATTCTCCTTTTTCCTACTTGATTTGCCCACTCTCTTCATATATATATATATATATATATATGTGTGTGCACCAACATAGTAACCAAATTACTTCATATATTTGGCTGTGAAACTCTTATTCGCTTGGGAAGAGTAGACTGTGTCTGTTAAATACTATTCTTTAACCCCCTTTTATTCCTGCTTTTCTGTCTCTAATCTTTTTCTTTTTCTTTTTCTTTTTTTGGTTTCTTTATTTATTTTGCTTTCTTTTCCCTGTAATCTGTCAGAATAATAGCTGGAATTACTCATGTGTGTCTAGAAATCATCTCATTCTTTTTAGAATGGAACCTGAACTTTCAAACATTGCTAGATGAAGGTGTTAATATTGTAAAGCATGTGTAGAAGATGGGTTTCAGTAGGCACTTGAGTACTGAAATGAAGCCTTTGATGGACACAAAACCAGTTAGTTTTGAGTGTATTCCTACTATAAGAAAAATCTTACTCTACAAAAATAGTAAACAAGCTGTCAGAAAAACACCAAAACGTCTTCCTAAACTTCTTTTGCTGGACGTGGGAAGCAGACATTGTAATTCTTGTTTCAGCTCTTCCTTAGGGATCACACCTTTGGTAAGGACTAGACACTTATGAATTTTTAGTGGCTGCGTAACTTAAAAGTAAAAGACCTGAGTGTTTTTCTGGCATTTCATCAATTTTAGTTTATTTCTTCGTTTATCAAATTGTCCCTTCTTCATTCAGCAACAAAATTAACTACCTGCTCAGTGCCAGGCACTGTGCTGGATGTTAGAGAAAAAAAAATCACAGCGATGGTGCCATCTCCTGTTCATCTCATTTGTCACCATCGCAGATGTAAGATGTAGGATGCCCCATTTTACATAGGGGGATCTGATACCTAAAATCATGTAGTTCAGGAAGCAGATTAATAAGATGTGAAATCACCCCAAATGCCCATCAACCCCGAACTGGGTTAATAAACTGTGCTGTGTGTATACCATGGAATACTATTCAGCCACAAAAAGATGGAGACGTCACATCTTTTGTATTAACCTGGATAGAGTTAGAGAACGTGTTTTTAGAAAAGTATCGCAAGAATGGAGAAGCAAGCATCCAGTGTATTCGTTATTAATATGAAGCCAATCAATGAACTAATACACATCTTAAACAAAACAAACTCGATTTAGTTCAAGTTGGGGGAGAAGGGAGGGGGGACAGGGTCTGGGGGGAGAGGTGGGGGATTGGTGTGTTCTCAGCTAACAGGCACAATATAAGGGCACATGGCACACCTCCTGTGTGAGGGGCACAACTACAGCAGGGACCTTACCTAACAAACCCAAATATTGTAACCTAATCATTTGTACCCCATATTAATCGGAAATTTTAAAGAAAGAAAAATAAAGAAAACAGATGATCTGACTCTAAGGCCAGTGTGCGTAACTCCCATGACATGCCACTTCCTCTGGCCTTGATGTGCTGCCGATGGTCCCCGGGACAAATGAACAAATGCTCACAGCGCTAAATCATTAGCTGTCAGAGAGATGCCTCCGGGCTTGTGGTGACAGGAAGAAGAGTACAGGACTTCCTGGGGGAAAGGGGACCTTCGTAAGGGGAATTGATATGTTAGCAGTTCAGTGAATGTCAAAAATTCAGTGAGATGACTCTGGAAGATTCATGATTTAAGGTTTGCCAGGTGGACCCGGGGAAGACAAGGGCACCTTGGACACCTGTAGACAATGTGTGGGCCACGAGGGCCTTTGGTGTTTGAGGAATGCCGAGCAGTGCTGTGTGGCACAAAGAGGGCAGGTCTGTGCACCCCACTGTTTTATTATCTTCTCATAACAACCCCATGAAGATAGTTGCTGGAATGTGCAATGAATGAGGGAGGGAGGGAGGTGGTGTGTTGAGAAGCTGTGGGTGTAAGTTGGGAATGGGTTGCAATGACCCCTTGATGTTGCTGAGTTTTCTAATTTTGCTATTGACTGTGAGATGGTGACTTGTAAGAAGTTACTTGAAAAGCTCTTGGTAGAACGTGTGCATTTTGAATCTCTGCAAACAATTCATCTACACTGTTGCAAGTAAGAAGGTGGCCACCGACTATGGTTTCATGAAGTAATAAGTATTTACTAAGTATGAGTTTATGTTAAGTATGAACATTTATTAAATGTGGCCCAAGCCCCAGCTCGGTGTTCTCCATAACTTCAGTAATTGGTGCAATGTTTAATTCCTGTGGCGTAGTCAGTGTTAAAAGTTTGAATTCATGAATGAATATAACTTCAAGTTTTCAACAGGTTTTGTGTATTGGAAACACTTGAATATTAATTGTAATCAGTTCTGATTCAATAATCAGGTTGAATGACAATCTTAATTCGGCTCAAATGCATATAGAATATAGATCAGAGGGTGGCGCCTGTGACTCAGTCAGTAGGATGCCGGCCCCATATACCAAGGGTGGCAGGTTCAAACCCAGCCCTGGCCAAACTGTAACACAAAATAGCCGGGCATTGTGGTGGGCACCCGTAGTCCCAGCTACTCAGGAGGCTGAGGCAAGAGAATCACCTAAGCCCAGGAGTTGGAGGTTGCTGTGAGCTGTGATGCCACAGCACTCTACCCAAGGGTGATAGAGCAAAACTCTGTCTCTAAAAAAAAACAAAAAAGAAAAGAATATAGATCAGAGAGTAGAATAAACATTTAAGTGTTTTTTAACATAAAAAAGAAAAATTTGAGAATTACTTAGATCTACTTCTCAAAAGACATTTTGGAGGTAATTATTCCTTACTATTAAACCTTGTCATCTCTACCAAAGCTCGAAGTAAAACCTGATCCATCCTTCCTGAGACTTTTGCTTCCCACTTGATTTCAGTCATTTCTTTGCAATTAGGTTTTTATTATCATTATTAAGTTATAGGTGGAAGTATTCCTACCAAAGCTACTGAAATATTTTTTAAAATCCTCCCAGATTTTCTGCTTCATTCTAGGACACTTAAAAAGCAAAGTAAGAATCTAAAAGGAAGATACAGGCAATTTTGACTTATTTTGTTCCTGCCTTGAGCCTTAATACTCCAGCTGTACATCTGAGCTAACACGCTATCTGAATTATCTTCTTAAGTCAAACTAAATCCAGGCATTGCAAGAAGCCAGAGAATGAACTCATGCATTTTCATTTGACTTAGTTCATTTGTTTTAAGCACCACTGGGTCATTATTTTCATTCGTTCAGTAAACATTTATTGACTGTCTACTCTCCATTAGAAATTGTGCACAACAAACTAGATGTTCTGGCTTGTTGCTAATTGAGAATTGGACAAAGGTTCATTACCGTTTAGACATTCTATACACTTAGGTACCTGCAAATGCTCTTTCCCAGCTAGCAGTGCGGGCACAGGGTGGAGAACTACTTGAGGGGAATGTTTAACGCATGGCGTCAATGAAATTAGTAAGTCGAACCATGTGGAATTGCCATAGTCAGCCATTTTGATCTCCCAGAGCAGCAAGTTTATAGAGTTCAACCTAATAAATGAATGTTTTCAATGTAAAATTAAACATTTTGAATATTTAATTCTTTTTCTAATAAAACTTTCAACACTGAGTATTACTAACAGTGAGACTGAGTTATGTAGGAGCTACATTATGTATACACAGCCTCGGACAGCTGTTAAAGACAGATGTTCAGTGTTCCTGGTAAACATCTTAAAAATTATGCCTTTTGTCAACAAAATGAGAGCTCTCCACCGAATAAAAGCAACTTTTATCTGTAGGTTTTGCATTAATATTGACAATGCTTCTTCCTTCCAGGAGATTGTATGAGCCCTTAAAATATTCAGAATACCTTTGAGAGTAGATTCTTTTTCCCATTGTTGTTCTTCTAGTGCAAGTGATTTTTCAATGTGCAGGATGTGCTTGGTGTTTATCTATTAATAGTTTATTGTATGTCTCTAACCACCCAAATAAGTGAAACTGAGGTTTTTAACTTCTTTCCATTTGAAAAAAAAAAAAAAAAGATATGTAACCTTCTGGCTCAGGTTACGTATCTTCTAAGTGTGTCAAACAAAAATCCAGTCAATTGCAGGGTAAGAATCCTAGTAAGATAGAAAAATCATTTCCTACTGAAACAACAAACATGTTACTATGTTAAAGAGTTACAAGAACTCTTATTTCTCTAACTGTGGGCATATTTATAGCTCACCAGTTTGTAACTCAATTCAGAAGAGACATATTTGCCTATTATGACAAACAGTTGAACAGCCAATACTCCTTTCCTAACGTGTATTTCGTATGTAATCTTTGGGTAGATTTAGTACATAATTTCATAGGAATAGAAGTTTAATAGAGTTAATAATATTGTATCTCATGTGTCAGCCCAAACTGAAAAATGGGACTTTGAGTTTCTTTTGGGAAAGTGTCATTGTAGCAAATGTAAATTGTGTCACATCAGGTAAAGAAAATATTTTTAAAATTAACCCTTTTTTTCCCTTCAGGTTTTCGCAAACAATTTAATGATTGCAGGATAGTGTCACAATATCAATTAAGAAGGCTATCTGACCATTTCTAACATTTTTTAGTGTTTAGTGTTTTTTTAAACAAACCTATTGGCTAAGATGTGTGAGCTCATTTATAGAATTCAAATCCATGTTTCACATGCAGCACCTTTAGGGGAAAGATAACATAGCAGTGAATGGATGCTTCTGAATTCGTTTTCCCCGACCTGTGACATTTTCCAAAGCCATCTTCCTGTTCTTTTCCATCACAGACAGTGAGACACAGCTGCGGAGAGACATGGTTTTCTGCCAGAGTCTCGTGGCCTCCGTCTGTGCCTTCTCGGAGCAGCTCATGGCCGCCTTAAACCAGATGTTTGACAACAGCAAGGAAAATGAGATGGAAACCTCAGAAGCCAGCAGAAGGTGGCTGGAGCAGATCACGAATGCCGGCGTCCTTTTTCACTTTCAGTCACTGCTGTCACCAAACTTGGTAAGGAATCATCTGACTCCCACTGCCTGTGTCAACTGTCACCTACCGCGTAACTTGTTCCCAAATAAGAAGTGGTTATTCATTCCGACTTCATTATGCCGTTATTACTCTATCTCCAGGCATTTAGCTACTTTAAAAAATCTATTTTTCCACAATTGTTCAAGCTTTAATCAGTCTGTATAATGTATTCTTTCTTTCCTGATGTTTATCTCTGCTCTGTGGCTGCTAACAGCTGAGAAAGCCCCCGTCTGTTACTAACTCTTGTATCCCCAAGCAAGGACTGGGAAAGGTCATCGGAAGAAGAAAGGGTCTTTCCGCAGCTGTCCTCAT